TCGTATTCTGAAGGTGGGTAAACTGTTTAACGTCTTCATTTGTCTCTTAAATGTTGTAAGAGTTCAATGTGCGGATGTGGGTAATGTAAAATCGAACGACATTGCTCATATATCGTTCTTTTAGGATCAATCTGGTCAGTGTTTTCGTCACTTCGGTTTGAATGATGTTCTTTAAAATGTAGTTTTTAAGCATGACTTGCTTCAGATTGTTTAAGTTGTAGTCATCTGAACGAATAATACTTATTTTCTGATTGTTGGGTTTTAACTAGTGACGTTTTTTTAGTCAAATTCAACTATTGTTCATGATCCATTAAAGTTCTCGACTGAAACTAGAATCATAAGTAGTTTTCAATAAGTCGTCAAGTTTATTGAGTTCGACCTATTAATGAATAATTTGCCTAGGAAAATACTCTAGGAAGACGGTATTTGCACTGATACCGCGAATCAATAAATAATTTGTTCATAATGGTGAAAGTGAAATATTGATATATAAGAAATGTTTTACTTGATATCGATGGTAGCTATCGACAATTGTATTCATACGTGTACAAATGTTTCGTGTCGAGCATAACATATTGAAATCATCCAGATGCTTCAGAATTCGGTAGACGAGTTCTACCGGTGATGTAAGAAGAGTTGCAGTAATTTTGATCGGCATGGATGAAAATTTTTGAGATATTCGAGATGCGGAAATGTCCTTTTTAGTGTTTGTTTTTATTTATAAGAGTTTGTAATAGCTTTGTGTCACCAATTTCTAATGGTTTTGGAATTACTTGTTTGGACAAAGTAATGCAAAATCATGATAGACTGTGAAAGTGTCACGATAACAACAACATACTACTTTGTGTTTTGTTAAATTTGATTGGTTGCATGATAAAATATGGATATGCATAATCTTGGAAAGTATTTTTCGTTCGTCTTGGGCAAGCTTCGCCTCAGATATGACGAAATAATTGATCGTATAGGATTTTTTACATTTACCTATTGCTACAAATGCAGGTTACTATCTGATAACCAGCTAAGTCAAAATGGCGAGTCATGTCTTAAGCAAGCTCTTGTAGCCAGCACCGCGTCTCAGGTTTTATCTTTATGGTCCTTCAGGCAACTGAATAAATGCCATGTCTTCATCTATTATCTACTCTCTAAAAAAAATCGTTTCCTGGGAAACCAAAACCTGTTCGAAAACCCTTTCAGAAATCTTTAGAGGTTTCTGAGAATACCTTTTTGGTTTTCGAAAATTCTGATACTCGAAAAAGTATAATGGGAAACCAGAATCCGTTTCCAAGTTTTTATTTGATATCCTAAAAGGTTTCCGAAGTTTTGAGAATTTTCAAAATGTTTCATAGAGAGATCATCGTGAGAGTTCAAAAACTTCTAAAAAAAACAGCTTTAGCGCTTGAATTTTCTTTTTTGATCTTTGTTCTCCCTTAGTTTCAGAGATTTTTAGTTAGCTGAAAGCTGCTCATATATTTAGTGGAAGTTACTTAATTACAGAACATACTTTTTCGCATGATTTAAAAGTATGATCTTCACTTTTTGTCTAAAGAAAAAATTTACTCTTTGGTCTAGCTAATCTTTTTGATAGTTTTATTAGATTTTTAGCTTCGTTTTTGTATAATCGCGAAAGCATATGAAAACAAAATATAAAAAGTGTACATCGTAACTATCAATTTTTTTTAATTTTAGTTTTAATGTATGTTATGTTTCTAGCAAGTCACGGTAATGCAATATCAAAAGATAGCAGCCAAATAAAAGAAAAATATTTCGTTTTCTTTTTCTGTTCTCATTTGAAAATGATCAACAGATATTGAATGTGATCATATGAGTATCTTTTGGAGAAACATACATTGTTAATAATTATTAAAAAGGAAATTTTTATTCATATAAGATATGTGTCCACGATTTTATTTGAAAAATATTATGATTTTCAATGGATTATCACAGTAACAAAGAAAACTGTCATTAAGATAATATCGATTTACTATTGATTGAATTATGGTACTATTTTCAAGCAATATAATAAATCCATGTAGGATTCTAATCAACAGGTAGAAGTTCTTTTGAATAGAAATTATTCAGATGATTCCAAAGTATTGCATGAAACCTTGGCAATGGAAATAACTCTCAAATATTTTTCGAGAATATTATCAATAGAGATAATTTGAAGGTGTGGGTGGGTGTGGATAAAGAGAAGAACCACACCCATACCCACACCCCACACCCTCTAGCAGGATTACTTTCAATCCTATATATTGTGATGTATGTAAGACGCAGTTACTTTTATGGTAATTAGAAATTTAATTTAATGCAACTATTCTTGAAAAATTTTATGAATGATGAAATAAGAAATTCTAATTAATTTAGTTTGCGATGGATGAAAAAATCATACGTATCGTAAACATAAAACAACAATGAAATAATTACAAACAAAAATTCTGAACGATATAATCTTTAGCATGTTGATTGATGTCTGAATCGTGCTATTGACATTGCGAGTCATGATTTTTGTTGCATTAGTTACCTTTGTATTTTATCAACAGTACAGAAAGCAAAAATCCAAATGTTTTCATTCATCAACAGTTACATGTATGTGAATCAGTCACCAAGTCACATGTTTAACATTCAATAAGAAATTTAAAAAAATATTAAATAGTAAAAATTTATAATAATAAAAAAAAATAGACCATTTGTGCATTGATTTTGTATGTATTGCATTGATATAAAAATCAAAAACCATACAATCTTTTTTTCATTTTAAAAGAATATTAAGTCAATTTAACTTAGTTCATAAAGAAATTGCTTTCATCTTACTTAAGAATATAAAAAACAATAGATAATATCAGATGCAAATTTTGTTTTCTCTTGATAATTCATGTTTATGGTGCATCAATGACATATGACCAATGTTCACTTCACATCATAGGTTTTAACCCTCCTTTGAATTGACTCATGCTTGAGACACCAAATTTCCAAGTGACGATGAATGATTTTTCCAATGCATCATTTAAAAGCTCTCATGTATATATATATATATATGTTTTTGCTAGTATATTGTTTAAAATATGCTACTAATCAGATAAAACAGAATATTCATTGTTTTAGTTTCCTAATAAAATCCAAATAAGTAAAATGACCGAAAACCCATTTCGAATCGTAATACAAGATAATCCAAATTTCATTCGTTATTGTTTAGCGATGAGTATTTTATGTACTGCCCCACTTCGAAATTGCGAACGTGACGAATTTATTAAATTTTGTCAGGGAAATAATCTCTTACAATATGTATCTCAATTTGATCTTCACTATCGTCCAGATGAGACCATTCAATGGTATACTCGACCATCTGGTTTTCCATCAAAATTTGTAAATACTATTTGTCGCACGCAACACCCTCTGTTAATATCGAAAGTCCGATATTATCTGAAGCACCTTCATGAACATCTGACACGACTTTATCAAGATAGTCTGTTTTGGATACCACAGTTTATCATTGTCTATCGTGGTCAAAGATTTTCATCAGCAGAATATCAAAAATTAGTTCAATATAATGAAAAACCTATTTTAACAACAACATATCTTTCAACAACAAGTGCTTATAATATAGCTGTCGAATTTTCTGGTTATAACATTCGCTCCAATGCTTCATTACAAGATGAAATATCAGTTATTTTTAAAATTGTAATACAAACCAAAAATACTCGTCTGAAACCGTTCGCATATATTCAAGAATATAGTCATGTCAGAGATGAAAAGGAAATATTAATATCGATGGGAACAATATTTTCATTTGTAAATATATACAAACGAGGAGTAAGTATGTTAGCAAAGAAGGAGAAAGATACTGGCCATTTGAAATTCGTGCAAACTTTTTTGTCATAATTGAATAGAGTTCGTCGAGTTATTTTTTAGAAATAATGTCTCTGAATATGTTCAAAAAATATTGTTGAAGTCAAATTTAGCAAAATTAGGTTAAAGAAATGACAAAAGCCAATGAAAGTTGAAATACATCACAAGTATCAAGTCTCATTATATACCCGAATTTTTGCTTGAGTTTTCTCTTCATATATTCGCCAAAAAATTATTCTTGGATTGTTGAAAAATTCGATGTTTTCGATATCATAGCAGAACAGAATAAATACGGGTTTATATTCTGAGATTTTGACCATAAGAACTTGAATTTTGAAACAAGCGAATTGATGAGAAGTATCGATCAGAGAATTCGGAAATAATGGTGAAGGAGTATCAGGACCAAAATTAATTTTGAATGTTGCGTATACTATTCAATACAAATTGTCGCGCTAAATCTGAATATGATGCTGTTGCTTTCATGACTAAAACTCTGATGGTCAAACACTTAGAATTTAAATCAGTATTTACGGATTTTTTTCAAAAAAGCAAGAGTAATTTTTTGTAGAAAATATGATGAGTGAATTCAAAGAAGAAATTTGGATAAATATCGAGGGGAACAAGACGTGGTGCGTTTGACATATTTCAATTTTCGTAGGCTGTTTTCATATTTTTCAAAACCTAATTTTCTTAACTTTGGCTACAAAAGTATTGTCTGAATCAGAGATGTTCACGGGTTGACCCGGCTAACCCGTCAACCCGACCCGTAACCCGTACCTGGGTTAGACCTATGACGGGTCACGGGGGTTAACGGGCTCACGAGTCGGATTTATCGTTTTACATGTAACCCGCGGGTTAACCCGTTCACAAACTTTGCCTGTCATTTCTTTTCATTCTTCATTCTTTCGTTTCACAGATAGTTACGCTCAACATTCATTCTATTCCTTCGTTTCTCTACTGTTTTAGTTCTTTTTATTGCTTCTTTGGTTCTTTAACATGTGAAGTCTTTCTTCCATTGTCCTCACTGCATCTTCATTCTAGTTATTCACCCACTTGTTTCGAAGCATGCACTAAGAACAGGCGATTCCGATCCCAACAATATTATGTTGTCAATTCCGACACGATTCGATTTCAACAGTCAACAATTTTGAAATTGGTAACATTTTCATAAAAGATTATGCACTTTTTTCTCTGCCTCTTAACAAACAGCTGAACTAGTGATTTAGAAACATATATAAACAAACATTTAATAAACAGCAAAAGAAGACACTTTCAGCTCTGTTTAGCATCAAATACGTTTAATTCAAAGGTTAGCGTGAATACTTTATAATAACTTGTTAATCAAGGAATAAGCCGTTCCAAATTGGAATCGGAACTGATGATTCTGATTCTGATCCCAAAAACATTTCATATTGCCGATTCTGATGCCCAATAAAGTCAACTTTGCCGACCCCTATCGTGTACACGTATATGTGCGTTTTTTTAAGCTTGATGATAGAAATACAAGATAACATCGACATTTTTTCCGTCCATTTATTTTATCATTTTTTTCGCGCATTTATTTTCTGATAATTTGTACGATAAAAATGTTCATCCGGTCTTATGAATATCAGTCTTCACTTCACAGTTTAGCCAACTCATGAGTGATTTTTTTAAACAATTTATGTTGTCAAAATTCACATTTCTAAAATGTGTATTAACCCGCGGGTAACCCGTGACGGGTTGATAAGTGTTCAACCCGTGGAGTAACCCGCGGGTCCAAAGAAAAATTATTCAACCTATGAGACGGGCCGGGTTCGATCACGAACGGGTCGGGTCAAAAAAAACCTGTCATGAACATCTCTGGTCTGAATATGTCAAAAAAATCATTTCTATAGATAACTTGACAAGCTCTATTCCACTATGAGAAAGAAATGCAATGAGACCTTAAAAATAACACGAAAACAAACTAAACATTGTTCTTCTAGGCAAATTTCTATGAGATTTTATTAATTCATGGTCAAAGTGAAGAAGAAATGGAAAAGAAAATATTATATAAAGCAATAGAATCATACGGTAATGAAAGAACAATGACAATAGGTAATGTTTTGATATCGATGAATATTCCTAGTACACTGGACGATGATTTTTATTGTCGACCACTGACATCATTATTAGAAGAATACTTACAAATTAAACCAGAAAATATTGTCAATTCAGGTAAATACTTAAGAACAAGTTTATTTTGTATGTATTTTTGACAATGGATTGTGGTCACACTTAATCATTAATTACTGTGGGAAACTGGAAGTAAATCAAAATACTATTCAAATTGAGCAACTATCAACAAAAATTTACATATACCGAGTGTCTCAAAAGTCCCTTCCACTTAAAGTTTTTTCTATATCTTTGCTATTTAATTTGACTTTATCAACTATTTTTTTTTAAATGCTAGATACATACACTAAGTTTTTATATATACGAACAAACTTCAGAAGTGCTGTTCAAAGCTAAGACCCTTAACCGAAATAGAAAAATTTAGCATGTTTTCTATTTCCAGAAAACCATGATGCAACATTACTGTCTTAATTACTTCGAGTTATTGAGTGATTAGAATCTTTAAATTTTCCAATTCTTGAACAGTCGTTTCATAGAATTTTATTTTGGCACGTCTTCAGAAAAACGAACTGAATGGTGCCAAGTCAAAATTCACGCAATTCAACCAAACATCACTCATGAATTATTCTGGAAATAGAAAGCATGCTAAATTTTTGTATTTTGGTTAAGGGTCTTTGCTTTGAACGGCACTTCTGAAAGTTCTGCGTATATATAAAAACTTGGTATATGTACCTATCATTTAAAAAAAATAGTTGATAAAGTCAAATTAAATGGCAAAGATATACGAAAAATTTAAGTGGAAGGGATTTTTGGGACACTGAATGTATTTAAAATTGTAAAAATGATTAAAAAAAGACTTTTTAATCAACGTTTGGAAAAAAAGAAATACAAACTAAGTTCAATATGCATTATATCAGTACAAGACTAAACATTTTCTAAGATATCAATTAAGCAACTTTATTTAAAAAAGTCTTTCAGAATCAAAAGACAAACTTCAATTAAACTTATTTTCACTTTCAAACCAGAACAATTTTTGCAAAAGTAATAATCATTTTGAATTTAATTATGAATTTCACTACATATAATGATTTTTGCTTCTCATTTAATCTCCAGTAATATAATGAATAAGTAAGACTATCTGTATCCGTCATATATTTAAACAACGACTCTATTTTTCTCGTAATGTTGTAGTTTCGACAGAATCTCAAATAATGACTATACAAGATTGGCCTGAGGGTGTAACTAATGATCATTTAATTATATGGGTCGATACTTTTATTGGTGAAAATAATACTTGTATTGAGTTCAAAGATGCATTAGCCAATGCAATAAACCTCATCAAGGATGAGATCGATAGATTAATTGTAAATAATGAAATTTATCCTCTCAGAAGAGAGTTGATTACTCTTCGAACTATTGAAGAATGCTTAGAGATGATTGACATAAATCGTGATAAAAAAATATTTTTAATTACTTCCGGTTCATTAGGTCTACAACTTGTACCTCGTGTATTAAACACTTTTCCATGTGTGGAAAAAATTTATATTTTTTGTGGTTACATTCGCGGCTTGGTAGATTGGGCGATGGATTTTACTGATAAATTACTTATGTTTGATTTTCCCAATGATTTATTTGCACGTGTAGTATATGACATTGGTATGTATTACATGGAACGAGCAATAAACTTTAGTAATTCAAACGAACATATAAGTGCATTATATTATCTATATTATTGTAAAACGTTAGTAATGCGAACGATTCATATTTTTCATTCATATTTATGGTTTAGTTTAACACCAATTGACGAATATATTGCCATGGAAGAAAGTCTATTACCTAAGGATATGGTACAGCATGTACGTCATAATGTTCAACATGTTTGAAATAATGGGTGATCCATAATAAATCGCTGCACTTTGCATTTCTTATTTTAATATCTGAATACATTTTAATAAAAAAAAATATGTACTACAAGATACAGCATGAAAAGTTTTACAATCTACGAAGCGAAGTTTATTTTAATTGTGTATCTTTTATTTCCAACATAAGCAAAATTCTATGTCACCAATTTCTGATGCTGCAAGCGTAGTCATTTTTTGGTGTAAGATGAATTCCTTTTTCTCGTTTGGTAAATTGATGAATAATTGGTTTTTGCGTTATCCCATTGCATATAATTGATAATACCATTACGACAAGTAATGACCTTGAACAGTGAGAGCAAAACTATTCAGTGACCATTTGTGATCGTCTATAAAATGCATAAAATTTCCTTCGCACAATGCTAATGATTTCAGATGTGTATGTTTTGCGGTGTTGTCTTTTCGCGGGTGAAATCGTCGCTTAAGTTTCGTTTGCCTTCAGAGTGCTTTTGTGGAAGAACAATTTCAATATAATTTTCATGAGATAATGTTTAAACAGATTTAAGGATAATACGAGACATTATGTCCTTTTTAGATGCACCTAACTACGTGACAATTCTATTTGAATACTTAATCTTTTGTTTTATATTCTCTTGTTCATCTGCTCCTCATCACCTTGCAGCATAAACCTGTGCAAATGGGCAGTAAGTTTCATCAATAAATAGAATTCTTTTCTTCTGACGATATAAAACAGCGCATTGATCGTGTACCAAAAAAATGATCATGGTCACTGCATCGAGCATTCGTGACTCAGAATTTTGCTTATTTTAAAAACAAAAGGTACACAATTTAAATAAGTTTTACTCTGCATATTGTAGAGCTTTACATACTACATCGTGCGTGGTATGTTCTATCGTCTTTTATTAAAATATATTTAGAAATTATTATAAGAAAATTCCAAGCGCGATCATTTATTATGGGTCACCCGTTATTTTGTACCACGCTTATAGTCGTTTCACCGGTATGTCTTGTCGGAGTGTGGGCATTAATTAATGAAAACTAGCGCCTACACCCACTGGTCGCAAACCCTTGCCAAGGTTTACGAACAAAAAAGAATTTCTGTAATGAGAATAAAGGAATATTGTAGAGTTGCTATTCTAAACGTTTTTTATCAAACAATCCATCATCGCTCTCTTCCCAAAAAAAGAAGAAACGAGATCTAAAGTGTTTAAGGTATGCATTCGAACAAATTAAAAATTCGTTGAAAAGACGATGTGCGTTGAATATGCTTGTACATTTTTTTTGATTGCTCCTCATCGCTCGAGTTATCTGAATTTCTATTTTTTTTCGAACTTCAGATCGTTCTATACATTTTTTAAAACTAAGTTCTAATATTAAAGAGATCTGTTTGACAACAAGAGAGTGCAGGTATGTAGTGTGATGTCTTTCTATCTGTCTGGATTTTATGTCGAATGTACAGTGTATTAAGAGAAATGGCAATAGAAATTCTCATTTATGAAAATGTGCAAGTGTTGCAATACTTGCACTCAAACAGATCGAATAGTCTATGAATAGCTACTATCGTAAGTATAAGTTCAAAACTCGATATTTATAGACTATCTATCTTATGAGCAATCCACTTTTTCTCTTGCTCAATTTTGCTTTTTTGAGTTATAGTACAACTTATTTCAGTAACTATCATTCTTTTTATTTTCGACTATATTTATCGTGATGAAAACGGTGAGAGAAAAACTATAAGATATTTGATACAACAGATAAAAACGAGCTTTTATGTCTTTTATCTTCATTATCCAATAGTATTGTTGGTCATCATGGTGGCAGCATTAACGACGGATGGCAGTTGATTCACATGAAAGATAGGTCCAAGAAAAGTAGTTGATGCTAGCAAAATCACCAGAATACCGATAATTTTAATTCCGATGCCTGCTTTGATCATATCCATAATTTTTACATGACCACTAGAGAATATCATAGCATTCGGTGGTGTAGCTAGACACAATCATTTGTTATAGACTTGAAGAAAAATGAGAATGAACAACTTACCAATTGGTAACATGAACGAGAGTGAAGCAGCCATACACGATGGCATAATAAGATAAGCTGCATGGATGTTAGCTGTGCGAGCCTTAGAAAAAAAGCAAACAATAAGAGTCGAATAATAGACAAAGAGAAAAGAAAATTTCTTACGATGCTATCAAAAACCGGAAATAAGATGCTAGCACATGCGATATTACTTGTAAATTCAGTGAACACAGCACCAATGACGATGGCAACAAAAATAACAAGTGTTTTAGGTGCTCCAACAATAAACTGCAGACTACTGGCAATAGTTGTTGACAGATCAGACGCCTATAAACGAAAAATACATGTAGCGAAAAATTCTTCATATTAAAATAAACCTTAAATCCATCGGCAATAGCCAAACCCGCACCTTGCAACATGAATACACCCCATGGAAATGATTTCGACAATTGATTCCATTGAATAATCGGTTTATATTTCCAATTTTCTAATCAAAACAATTAGTTTTCAATGTCAAGATGATCTTCTAAATACTTTGAAATGGGTTTTGATCTGGTAAAATCAACGGCAATGAACCAATGAGTATAGCTGTTGTTCCATCTGTAACGTAGCTTAAGCAACAAAAGAAATAAGTCTTTTCAACGAAAATTCAGACTCACTTTTTTCGAAATATGATTTGCCATCCAGGACGACTTGAAAAGTCACGTGTCACCCACAGAATGATTAAGACAATGAAAAGAATAGTAACAACGCGTTCGCGCCATGTGTATAGGCCTAACTCTTGGTATTGCCTTTTGAGAATAACTTTCAAACGTTTCTGTGAGTCTTGCGTACTCGAGTTTGCCTTCCACTGAAAGAGCCTACAATTATACATAAAGAAATAAAAATTATTACAACGAGCATGATTATAAACTCACTCTTTGCGATTGTACAAGATTTGTAACCATAACCAACAGAGTAAAAGCATGATAACACCAATCGGTAAGCCGAACAAAAGAAAGTTGGAAAATGAAATTTGAAAAGCATGACTTCCAGTTGCATAGTATCTACGTCGATTAATAGACACTATTAAAAACGGATATTCTATTCAATTAAAGTACTCACTGATCAACAAAACCTTTGGTAAAAATATTCGTACCAGTTCCAACAAGTGTTATCAGACCGCCCAAGGCAGAGCTATAAGCGACAGCAATAAGAAAACCTTCGAATAGGCGAGAAGAGAGAATGTGTGTCGATTTAGTTCGAAAAATGTATGTTGTATTTCCTACCACTCTTGAGTTGTCGATAGTCGACTTGTGTTGTGGATAAAGGCTTACTTCTCGCATGTGAATCAACTGTTGATTGGTGGTTAAATGGTGAAGATCTAGAGATGTATGATAATATATTAACCCTGCTAGATAGGACCTGTCTTATCTAGATCAGTTCGACAATTACCTACGGGTAAATGAAGATATGTAGTTCTCAGGTTGGTATTACATAGATACCTTCACTCATCTACTTCTACTCTCTTAAGAAGGGCAAGCCTCAATTAGGATAACTTGTGAAAAAGTTTCAAAATTTGTAGACACTGTATTTTTTAGATGAGAATCTTTTTCTATAGAGGAGCTCGACAATAAGTGTTGCGAGAAATATTTTTTTTTAAAACTTTTCCAAAAATGGTGCAATTCTTCTTACAAATAATTTCGATCAAATCTTTCCTATGGATGAAATGTCATGCCAAAATTTCAAATTTTGATTTTGCTGGACTACGAGTCCTGCAGAAAAATCCAGTAAAAAATCGATATCTTAGATCCAGCATTCCAAATCTAAATAGGTTTTGTCGTATTACTTATTTGAATTTATCTGACGACAAAATTTTTGAGTGCAAAGCGATTTTAAATCGGAAGAGGCTCACTCATGAAGCCAATTATTTCGTATTACCAGCAAAAACTAGTCGTGTACTTAGACTTTTCTCATCTAGTCATACAATATCTGTTCCTGAAACAACTTAGATTGGAGTCTGAAAGTCGCGCGATTACGGCTTGGTGTCGCTCTACAATCTTACAAACGATTCTAGAAGCAACCCATCTATGTTACCAACTAGACTTACACAATCATCAACTCGCTGCAATTTATAGAAACACTATCATGTGAAGATAACTGTTCTGTCTTTTTTTCTGCATTGATTGTTTCAACATCAAGTGCGACTAAAGATAAAATAAAAATATTATTCAATTGATAATTGAAATGAAGATCATTCGTCACCTGCTTTATCTACTGTTGCAATATTTCTTGATTGCCGTTCGATTTCTGATGCTTGTTCTTGCTGTTGCATTTGTTTTTGATAGTTTTCAACTTCATCAATAATAGCGATCGCTGCTGGCATCATGATACTTGCAGAAGCTGAATTATTGATCCACATACTCAAAAAAGCTGTAACACCCATCAATCCAGCCATACTCCTGTTCAAAAAGATACAGCTGTTGTTTTATACATCGAAAATTAAAAAAATACTTACCATTTGGTTGATGAACCAACAAAGCTGAGTACAAGCAATGCTAAGCGTCGATGAAGTTGAATATGCTCCATTGTATAAGCCATAATCATACTGCCAACGAGCAACGTTGTTATATCCTTAAAATACACATTAGTCACATTTTGTATTAAAACTAAAAATGAGAAAATGACTAGCTCACTTTGAAATAGTTTAGGCAGATTATTTCACCGGGTAGAATGCCAGCCATAGGAAAGAATGCAAGTGGAAATAATGAAGTTACTGCATAGGGCATTGCTTCAGTGACATAATAAATGGTGAGAAGTAGCACGATATAGGCACATCTTGCTTGCTATAGAAAATAACAACAATCCATACAATTCTATCTACTTGAAAACATATGTTCAATTCTTACAATAGTTCTGACAATAAGAGGAAATGGAAGAAGTATGAGTGGACTTAGTACAATAACCAACACACGCCACCAACGCCTGAGATTAGCTAGTATCTGTCTATAGTAACTTAACGTCATCGTTGTATATATGTGAATAACTGCGTCTTTTTTTAATTTTAGAATGTGATTTTCTAACTTTTGTTCTTTTTTATACATCATTTATATGAATAATGATCGTTAGTACATCAATGAGTCAATAGTTGATGGTGTCTTTAGCTCTATTCGTCACGATTATGTTTACGCATAAATTAGATTCAAGACAACGTCGTATTCTGCCTGTATAAGGTTGGCTAACGGGGGCGTGAAGACAGGAATAGCCATGCAACTTTGAAACATAATCTACGTACTTTTATTTCCTTTCTATGTTATAAAAAGCCACTAATTAGACGAGATGAATCATTGATTTTACGCTGTGGTACTGTGATTATTTGACCTATACTATCCTTCAACCTTTAAGTGAATATACGAAATCATATAAAAAGCATTCAATTGTACCTATACGATAGGAGAAAAGTGCATATATGTACGAATATAGGGCCATAATTGTAATGGCACTATGTCATGCATGCACTTTTATAGATGAAAATTTTCATTGTCAGGTTTCATAAATCGATTCAATTAATCATCTGCACTTGAATTATTGATGCCATCTTGTACACACTCCTTGGCAATCTTAAGTGCGATAGGCTTAGTCATAAGTATTTTGACTGCCAAAAAGTTGCGTTTTCATACAATCTTGTAGAAAGTGGACCATATAAACACATCAAGGTATCACAGCCGAAAACATCAAAAATTCTAAAATTTATATGAAATTGTCCATCGAAAAATAGAATCCTTCTTTTTCATTTTCTTTCGAAAATAGCGTCGATCATTTTGGTTCTATTGATTTATTTTTGCAATTTATACAATTAGGTCTCTTGAAAAGTCATTTTAATCTTTATGTATTTATAAAGATGACGGAATGCTAGGTTTCAATATTGCTGTTATGCATCTACTGATTGTTCGGTATCGCATTTGCGTTATCTCTGAGTTTTTATTGAATAGATGATTTATCAAACTTCAGAAAATTAAGAAACATAAAAAAAATCAACTCTACTGGAACTTTGATGAATTGATTCTTGAATTTTAGCGGTAGACACGGCTGGAATAAGTTGATGACACATGAACACTTATTTTGTATTGATTGAAAAAAGGATATTTTAAGTTGATTTAATATTTAAACTATATCTTCTTTGACTGATGACAAATCTTGTTCAATATGATTCATAAAACAATCATCTAAAAGTGTGCATCTGCTGTTTTTTTTATATCCCCTTTTCTCTTTTCTTTAGTGCTGGTATGAAAGAGCAAGACGGTAAAATCGTACGAATTCATCAATCATCTTGTTTAGTACCATTACTAAAGAAAAGAAAAAAAGAGACGAATAAAAGCAAAGGCGTACTTATAGGTCCTTGTTGTAAACCAAATGGAAAAAGAAAGTAGATCTTTTCGAAACGTTATTCAATGGACTTTTTCTTTTATAAAGACAGAATAAATAAATGTCAGTTTTCTCTTCTAATATGATGGGTGATTCAGAAGAAGTATCACGTACGGTATTTTGTTTATGTTTCACCTGAGTTTTGTCTTTGACTGATAATATTTTTCCTTGAACGAGATATCTCTTGAGTGTTCTTCAGAAAATCTGCATTGAGTATCTTATTTTAAAATGTAATACTAAACAACATAAAATGAGCTGAAAAGAACAATTTTTAAATTTCGACAGAAGAAAGCTAAAAATGTTTTTTTTTAAATAAAGTCTTAGTATTATAAATTTTCTTCTATTGAACAAAGCATTAAACATATTTGATGAGACTGCTTTGACAACAGCAACTCACATTTTACTTTGACCCATAATGTATCGAATGAGGCCTTGCGATTTTTTGTAAAATATAACATTCATGAGATACAATGTCTCTGTTTTTGAATATTAATTTCAGCAATTTACACAGATGGCTGCGATGTCTCTTACGATAGAACAAATTCTACTCTACAAAATAACTCTTTTTCAAAGTTTTAAGGGTCGTCTGACAGCTGAATGTTTTTAATTATGAATTTAGTATTCATTAAAATCTAAGTAGTGCTTCAAAAAATTCCATCGCAATAAGTTAGTTTAAAATAAAAAGTACAGTGTTGTTCTGATCTAAAGGTCTTTCTAATGGTCTACTTGAAAATCAAGAAATATGACACCCTTTGTCTATAATCATTGATAAAAAATAATAAAATTTCAGTTATTATAACCAATGTATTTTCACCATAATTTAATTCGTTTGCTTCTGCATCTAATGATATAGTCGAACAATTTCTGATGTTGTTGCAAAACGTCAAAATCGATGAAAAACGAAAAAAATGTCTTAAACTTTTGTCTACTGGAGGAAAATTGCATTTATCTCTGTTTTTAGGTAGTAATCAAGTAGAACAAGAACAAATAGTCTACATGGAATCTAGCCTTGCCTACTTATGTTATTCAAGAGATGTTTCTTACTTTATTTCTTTTCACAAAAAAGAAACACATGGGTAGAGTGACTTTAAGTTTTTTCAATCTACTTTAATTCGAATCAATTGTGAACATGGAAACGACTTCTACAAGCATAAATAGGTAGCCGGTGTCTATCGTTAATAAAAATAAATGTTTAAATGAACTTAGTAAAAAAATGTTAGATGACCAAACAATACCTAAGTAAATTTTTTTTTTCATTCCGATCGATCATGTTTGCATGCTCTTCTCTTCAAGCCAAACTATCACGGACATGTCAATAGTTGCTTATCATATTTCTGTCTAGGTATTTGAAATCTATTTGCTCATCATGAAAAGAGAGCTGACAGCTCTAGAAGTCTCTACAACTGTGATTCAATTAGATAAAGACTCGGCAATGCTTTACTCTACAGAATTTTTCTTTTAACATATGCTTTGTCCTTCAAAGACTTTTTCATATGTGTGTGCAGCTTGACAAGGGTTAAACTGTAATCAATGATTCATTGATCTAAAAGAATTGAAGACGAGAAGAATGATTTGTACATTACGATCAAGGTCTCTACAAATGCTTGTTTAAAGTTATTCGATAAATAACATTGGATTGCTTGTCAAGAGCAAAGTCTAATAGACTTTTCGAGTTGAAAGCGTATAGTTTGCAAAGGCTGCCTGAACTGTTAAGCATTCGAAATTAATGTAACCACTGGAATTCTTATGAAATGTTTTCTATTTTGGTTCATTTAATTCGGATAGATTCAATTCGCTTGTCTATGGCATGACGAGAATCAACAGTTTATTAATAGCTCGTTTAGTCGTTTTATTCTGAGCTTCAGCTATACTCATAGGCACTCATCATCAGGTAATAGAACGAAAAAAAAAATGCCGATAACCTGCTATACACGTGGAGA